TTTATTTTGGGTTCAATTTAGTTATTCTATTTTTAAAACAATTAAATTTGATCTTTCCGTTAGATTAACATTAATTTTTATTTTATTTATTATTGACTTTTTTCTATTTTCTTTAAAACAAAAGTTGTCATGTATTAAATCATGGCCGTACCATATAACAATGATAATATGTCGTGTTATTGCCACGTGCTTATTTTCACTTTAGTCCATATTTATAATTTATTTAATTTATTTTTTTTATATGAAGTAATTCGTCCTCTTTTATAATTTGAGACCAAATTAATAATTGATTTTAATTACAACTTATATATGTTAATTTTTTTTTTTATAATTTATACATAAGATCATTTCATTTAAATGTTTATTTTTTTATATTTTTACCTAAAAAACATCTTTATTTAAACTTATAATTCTTTTAAAATATTAAAAATGTAAATATGAAATCACACTTATCACGTTAAAATAATTGTCACATTAAACATTTAAAAATTATAAGTGTCATTTTACATTTATATTTTTAATATTTTTATAAAATTACAAAAATATTAAAAATATATTTTAACATGTATATATAAATTGTAATCATATAAAAAAAAATTTAATTTTTTCTTTTTAAAAAAAAACTAAATTGAATTAAATTTATAAATTTGAGAAATTGAAAATAAAAAATACCACGTTATAGTAATAGTGACACATACCTAACATATACATGCGACATGATTATGGCCTACTATAACAATTTTTTGTTTTTTTAAAATTAAAAAAAATTGAAACTTTTACTATTGGCACAACATATATTAGTACGACATTAATGTTTAACAAAATTGACTAAATTGAGTTTTTTAATAAATAAAAAGGCTAAACTAAAAAAATAAATAATGGGAAAAAAAAGAACCAATTAAAGAAATATGAGACCGAATCTATACTAAAACCTATAATTTAAAAAGAGTATAGTTTGAGAATAACCATTGTATTGGTGCAGGAAGAAAGACCCAATACATATTCGGGAGTTGTTGGGCCAATTCAGTCATGTCACTTAGACTAATGGGCTAAGTCTTAAGAAAGTACTGTGTAAATCTTGAGAAAGTACCACTGTTACGTTTCCCCTCTTCTTTTCACGATGAAATAATTTCGTTCCCAAACTTTTGACATATCAGAGAGTAAAGTGTTAGGGTTTTTCTTCCTTCTCCCTTTACTCGCCCTTTTCCCTCCTTTCTTCTTCGCGCCGGACTCACCCCTCTCCAATCGCACCACCATCACTCACGCCGCTCTTCACCTTCACGTCACGGTGGTAACCACCCCAGAACTCAGGTTTGTCCTCTCTCTCAAGAGTTAATGATTTGGATGTAACGAGTTTATGATTTGAATGAAAAAAATCTTATTATTGTGCAGAAGAATAAAGGAGTTATGTTTATAACTCTTTCTTACAACGAGCTCTGTTTAACCCACAGGCTCAACAACTAACAGAAAAGACTTACAACAAACCCTAACTCTATTAAATAGTTATAATAAGAGGGCAGGCATACATGATCCATAACATCAAATTTAAGTAACAACAGGATGGATTTAGGAATATGTAATGACCAACAACCTGTACAGATAATTTCAAATGTAATGACCAATATGTAGTATATTGTAAAATAAATGAATCGCTACTGTACTTATTTAAAACGCATATAAAGATGCATTTAGGAAAAAGAATTAAAAAAATTACTTATCACACTTGTAACAATGGAATAAATTTTCGCTTCCTCCAATTCTGTATTAAGTTAAAATATATCCAAAACAAGCAGTCTGATTTTTATTCAGATCCTAGTCAATCTAAGAAGGCAAAGCATACAAGCTTCAAGATATCCTTAGTAGTGATCTTTAAGGTCCAATGCAAAAAGAAAGAAGGCAAGAGTTTGATAATCATATCAACATATTTATTTGGGTGGCTGCTAGTCGTAGCTAAACTAACATTTGAAAAACGGAATTGAGATAAAACGAGGAGTCCCCTTCAAATGTATTGCAATCCCTGCATAAAATGCACAGACGTCGATCTTTTAGATAAAGTTTCTAGATAGCAAATCATACCTGCAAATTCCACAGCCAGTTCAATGGCACTGCCGCTTAGATATGCAAATTATAAAACAAGATAATAGCATAATATGAATTGAAAACCTTCATAGTTTAAAAGTCTTTCAATCATTGCATGCCATCACTAAGCCACAAAATTTAGTAAAAAAGGTTAAAGTTCAATTTTAAGTAGATGAATTTTCAATTGTTGCTTACATAATCAATATAAGTTGTCAAGTTTGTTAGTTAAAATTTGTTTTAATATTAAGAATGCATAATATATATTATGCGAAAAATGAAAGTTTTAGTAAGGATTTATTTCCCATTTTAAAATATTAATATTTTTGTTAATTTATTAAAACATGATTAATCTATGGAATATTGGTTGCTATTCATTGTTAATAAATGGGTTCATATATAAATTTGTGTTTGGGAATTGTCATTATGCAGGTTTTGTATGTTATGTGAGTAGGGAAACAAATAATCCTGAAAACAAAAGAAAAAACACCAATTTCTTTCTATGGCAGTTATTTGCATTATAGCAGTCAAAGAAAGTGTCACCTTCTATGTCGGTTGGGTTTACACTTATCGTAAAAAGTCCACTTTCATGCTGGTTGGACATGAACCAGTCATAGAAATTGACACCTCCAATGACAGGCATGACATATTTTATATACTGGGTCCCTTGCTCCTGACATAGAAAATTGATCTTTCCATGACCGGTCCATACTCGGCATATAAAGTGGAAACTTTCTATGTTGGCTGTATATATGATGGATAAAAACAAGCATAGAAAGCCTTTTTTTAATCGTTATAAAAGGCGTTTACTGTACTGCTGTGTTGTACAATATGTAAAAACACTCTGTAGATACTAGATAACATTCATTACACAAGTAAAAACGTATGTGGGTGTGTATAGATATATATAACTGTGATTAATTTAACTAGCTTGAGATATCATTTTATATCATTTATAGTTTGATTGAAGGACTTCCTTTTGTCATACATTTATTGTTTTATGTTATTCTAAATCCTTTGTGAAATATTCTATGATCTAGTACTTTGAAAACAGGAAAGTAAGACCTGCATTATTTCATGTAGAATTGTTAGTTAATTCTCAATGAAATACATTTTATTTGTGATTAGCAAGTTGATAGCCTTTTAGTTAAAATCTTATGAGAACCTAACCTCGGATTTAATATAATATAGGATGATTCTAGAATATTTCCACCAAACAAAATGATGAAAATAGAAAACAAAAGATGGGACAAAATAAAATCTTGAAAGATGTCATACCACTTGGAAGAATTTCAACTGATGAAGAATCATACGATAAGATTTAAGAAAATGTAACTCACTCTTCCAATAGAAAGAAATCTCCTGAATCCTTCTTATACTAGAATTACAAAATCTTAAATAAAAGAATATAAAGAAAAGAAATTAAATTCTAAGAAGATTAAATATATTGTGAATCCCTTCATGCACTCATCATTCTCTTAGGTTGGAGAGAATTTGTTCATGATAAATAAAAGTATTATATAAACTCAAAGTAATAAAAAGATGAAGAAAAACTATCTTTATTGAAATCGAAATCTTATGAAAATCAAATATCTTATTATTCATATGCTTTTATATCTTTCTCTGAAATCAAATAACAATCTATAAAAAACATTAAACAATATTAACATTAAGGGACTAATAATAAGTTTCATAACCAATTCCATCTAATGCAAAAATTGAATAGCTAAATAAACTTTATTTTGTGTTCTATTATTAAAAGAATTGCACAATAAAGTTGCAGGCATATAAAAAATATCATTTTCAACTTCTCATTTCTTTCTTTTTTTCTTTGTTTGTATTATTTTTCTAACTTTTTAATTGCCTTTCTCTAATCTCTTTCATCCTTCCCCTAAACTTTCTATAATTTATACTTTGGAATATACCTTCAGAAATACAAAATTTGTATTTTGAATTATGTAATTCAGAATGTATTTTTTATTTTACATTTAATAGCCAATTTAGTCCCCACTTTGGTTGAAAAATCTCAATTTAGTCCCTCGTTATAAAAGTGTTTTACATTAGTCCTAACTTTTAAAATAATGGGTCAGATTGGTCCCTTTCGTTAAATATAAGTTAACGAAATTAATGGATGATGATGTGACACAGCTTAAAGCTGATGTGTTAGATTGGTCCCTCGTTAGCTTTAAGTTGTGTCACATCATCATCCATTAATTTTGTTAACTTATATTTAACAGAAAGGACCAATCTGACCCACTATTTTAAAAGTTAGGACTAATTCAAAACACTTTTATAACGAGGGACTAAATTGAGATTTTTCAACCAAAGTGAGGACTAAATTGGCTATTAAACCNTATTTTTATAAAATTACAAAAATATTAAAAATATATTTTAACATGTATATATAAATTGTAATCATATAAAAAAAAAACTAAATTGCTCCATTTAAAAAAAAACTAAATTGAATTAAATTTATAAATTTGAGAAATTGAAAATAAAAAATACCACGTTATAGTAATAGTGACACATACCTAACATATACATGCGACATGATTATGGCCTACTATAACAATTTTTTGTTTTTTTAAAATTAAAAAAAATTGAAACTTTTACTATTGGCACAACATATATTAGTACGACATTAATGTTTAACAAAATTGACTAAATTGAGTTTTTTAATAAATAAAAAGGCTAAACTAAAAAAATAAATAATGGGAAAAAAAAGAACCAATTAAAGAAATATGAGACCGAATCTATACTAAAACCTATAATTTAAAAAGAGTATAGTTTGAGAATAACCATTGTATGGGTGCAGGAAGAAAGACCCAATACATATTCGGGAGTTGTTGGGCCAATTCAGTCATGTCACTTAGACTAATGGGCTAAGTCTTAAGAAAGTACTGTGTAAATCTTGAGAAAGTACCACTGTTACGTTTCCCCTCTTCTTTTCACGATGAAATAATTTCGTTCCCAAACTTTTGACATATCAGAGAGTAAAGTGTTAGGGTTTTTCTTCCTTCTCCCTTTACTCGCCCTTTTCCCTCCTTTCTTCTTCGCGCCGGACTCACCCCTCTCCAATCGCACCACCATCACTCACGCCGCTCTTCACCTTCACGTCACGGTGGTAACCACCCCAGAACTCAGGTTTGTCCTCTCTCTCAAGAGTTAATGATTTGGATGTAACGAGTTTATGATTTGAATGAAAAAAATCTTATTATTGTGCAGAAGAATAAAGGAGTTATGTTTATAACTCTTTCTTACAACGAGCTCTGTTTAACCCACAGGCTCAACAACTAACAGAAAAGACTTACAACAAACCCTAACTCTATTAAATAGTTATAATAAGAGGGCAGGCATACATGATCCATAACATCAAATTTAAGTAACAACAGGATGGATTTAGGAATATGTAATGACCAACAACCTGTACAGATAATTTCAAATGTAATGACCAATATGTAGTATATTGTAAAATAAATGAATCGCTACTGTACTTATTTAAAACGCATATAAAGATGCATTTAGGAAAAAGAATTAAAAAAATTACTTATCACACTTGTAACAATGGAATAAATTTTCGCTTCCTCCAATTCTGTATTAAGCTAAAATATATCCAAAACAAGCAGTCTGATTTTTATTCAGATCCTAGTCAATCTAAGAAGGCAAAGCATACAAGCTTCAAGATATCCTTAGTAGTGATCTTTAAGGTCCAATGCAAAAAGAAAGAAGGCAAGAGTTTGATAATCATATCAACATATTTATTTGGGTGGCTGCTAGTCGTAGCTAAACTAACATTTGAAAAACGGAATTGAGATAAAACGAGGAGTCCCCTTCAAATGCATTGCAATCCCTGCATAAAATGCACAGACGTCGATCTTTTAGATAAAGTTTCTAGATAGCAAATCATACCTGCAAATTCCACAGCCAGTTCAATGGCACTGCCGCTTAGATATGCAAATTATAAAACAAGATAATAGCATAATATGAATTGAAAACCTTCATAGTTTAAAAGTCTTTCAATCATTGCATGCCATCACTAAGCCACAAAATTTAGTAAAAAAGGTTAAAGTTCAATTTTAAGTAGATGAACTTTCAATTGTTGCTTACATAATCAATATAAGTTGTCAAGTTTGTTAGTTAAAATTTGTTTTAATATTAAGAATGCATAATATATATTATGCGAAAAATGAAAGTTTTAGTAAGGATTTATTTCCCATTTTAAAATATTAATATTTTTGTTAATTTATTAAAACATGATTAATCTATGGAATATTGGTTGCTATTCATTGTTAATAAATGGGTTCATATATAAATTTGTGTTTGGGAATTGTCATTATGCAGGTTTTGTATGTTATGTGAGTAGGGAAACAAATAATCCTGAAAACAAAAGAAAAAACACCAATTTCTTTCTATGGCAGTTATTTGCATTATAGCAGTCAAAGAAAGTGTCACCTTCTATGTCGGTTGGGTTTACACTTATCGTAAAAAGTCCACTTTCATGCTGGTTGGACATGAACCAGTCATAGAAATTGACACCTCCAATGACAGGCATGACATATTTTATATACTGGGTCCCTTGCTCCTGACATAGAAAATTGATCTTTCCATGACCGGTCCATACTCGGCATATAAAGTGGAAACTTTCTATGTTGGCTGTATATATGATGGATAAAAACAAGCATAGAAAGCCTTTTTTTAATCGTTATAAAAGGCGTTTACTGTACTGCTGTGTTGTACAATATGTAAAAACACTCTGTAGATACTAGATAACATTCATTACACAAGGAAAAACGAATGTGGGTGTGTATAGATATATATAACTGTGATTAATTTAACTAGCTTGAGATATCATTTTATATCATTTATAGTTTGATTGAAGGACTTCCTTTTGTCATACATTTATTGTTTTATGTTATTCTAAATCCTTTGTGAAATATTCTATGATCTAGTACTTTGAAAACAGGAAAGTAAGACCTGCAGTATTTCATGTAGAATTGTTAGTTAATTCTCAATGAAATACATTTTATTTGTGATTAGCAAGTTGATAGCCTTTTAGTTAAAATCTTATGAGAACCTAACCTCGGATTTAATATAATATAGGATGATTCTAGAATATTTCCACCAAACAAAATGATGAAAATAGAAAACAAAAGATGGGACAAAATAAAATCTTGAAAGATGTCATACCACTTGGAAGAATTTCAACTGATGAAGAATCATACGATAAGATTTAAGAAAATGTAACTCACTCTTCCAATAGAAAGAAATCTCCTGAATCCTTCTTATACTAGAATTACAAAATCTTAAATAAAAGAATATAAAGAAAAGAAATTAAATTCTAAGAAGATTAAATATATTGTGAATCCCTTCATGCACTCATCATTCTCTTAGGTTGGAGAGAATTTGTTCATGATAAATAAAAGTATTATATAAACTCAAAGTAATAAAAAGATGAAGAAAAACTATCTTTATTGAAATCGAAATCTTATGAAAATCAAATATCTTATTATTCATATGCTTTTATATCTTTCTCTGAAATCAAATAACAATCTATAAAAAACATTAAACAATATTAACATTAAGGGACTAATAATAAGTTTCATAACCAATTCCATCTAATGCAAAAATTGAATAGCTAAATAAACTTTATTTTGTGTTCTATTATTAAAAGAATTGCACAATAAAGTTGCAGGCATATAAAAAATATCATTTTCAACTTCTCATTTCTTTCTTTTTTTCTTTGTTTGTATTATTTTTCTAACTTTTTAATTGCCTTTCTCTAATCTCTTTCATCCTTCCCCTAAACTTTCTATAATTTATACTTTGGAATATACCTTCAGAAATACAAAATTTGTATTTTGAATTATGTAATTCAGAATGTATTTTTTATTTTACATTTTGGAATGCACAATTTAAAATATTGTATTTCAGAATATATAATCCAAAATACAATCAAAGGGGTTAGGGTTTTGACACAATTCCTCACCACCCTTATTTACGATATCTCACGAAGGCGATTCTTTGCAGAGTGGTTTAGCATAACAGACAGCGAAATGGGAACAAAGGCAAAGAAAGCTATGAAGAAGAACATGAAAATGGCTTCCTCTAAACAGCCATCTCAGGGTGCTGATTTTTTGGTATGTCGATAATACCGATTCTGAGTGCTCTCTGTTTTCAGTTTACTTTTCCTTTCATTTTTCAATTTATTGTGTCAATGTGGTGCTTAATTTTGTTTCTGAATCGGTAAAGCCCTTGGAAGGTGGTCCTGCTCGCCAGATCGCCGAACAGAAGCCGCTGGAGAATACTTCCACGGTATTGCACGTGTCCAGGATTCCGCATGGATTCTATGAGAAAGAGATGGAAGGTGCTCATAGATTTTCTTTCTGGTCTTTTATTGATTTTGTGGAGTGTGTTTACAGTTGCATTTTGTAGGTTATTTTGGGCAATTTGGAACCATCAAGAGGTTGAGAGTCGCGAGAAATAAAAAGGTTGGGCTTGCATGTTAACTTGTCTCCTTTAATGTCCGTGCTTTTTATTATTTGCATATCGTGTGATTGTGTATCAACTTGATAATTGAGGCATACTTTGTTTATTCTGGTTTATTTACTAATGTAGTTAATTTGACCTGTGGATTCAGTGATTATTTTTGTATAATGAACCCCAAAGAGTTGTCAATTTTGACATAATGCAATGTATGGTTGTATGGCGAAAATTTACTTTTCTTGTCTCATGCTCTATTTATTCATGACTGGTCTTTAATTTAAGATAATGTTCCAATGCAGAATATCAATTGTGTCGTTAATAGTTATGAGTTTCTCATAGAAGTTGAAGCCTCTGTTATCAATCAATATTGTAGTAATTCTGCTTTTGTTTGGTCCTTACATTTTGAAAAAAGCTACGGGTTTTCAACCATCAATATATTTGTTTCATTAAATACTTTGGGGCTGCAATATTTGTTTGTTGTTACCGTTTTAGGGATGATGGATATTGGTTTTAGTTGATTGATACTGACAATATATGTTTCTTGTTCTTTTACAGACAGGAAAATCAAGACATTTTGGGTACATAGAATTTGAATCTCCTGAGGTATTTGTTGTTTCTGCAGATTAATTGTTTGTGTTATGACATGACAAATTTTGGTGCTATTGTGTTTGTAATAAAATTCAGTTTCCATGTTTTAATAGTGCCTTGATTTGTAGGTAGCGAAAATTGTAGCTGATACTATGCACAATTATCTCCTTTTTGAGCACCTTCTCCAAGTTCATGTTGTACCTCCAGAGCATGTTCATTCAAGATTGTAAGTTATTAATTAATATTTTTCCGGATCTATTTCCTTCTAAGGATGCCATTGTATGTTTTTCTTAATTGTAGACCTTTGTGTCTAACCATCAATTTTCTTTTCACTCCTTTCTTTGCATGTGTGATAAAGAAAGATATCTATTTAGAGTATTGAAAAAAATCACTAATACAGAATTAGGAATTTCCTCAACCATTTTGGGTGTGCACGGTTGGTTAGACTCAGACTATGATGCATGGATATGATTCATATCTGATACGGCAGTATGTTTATTTTGAAAATAAGAGGATGTGGTACGTGACCGATACATAGTTAAGAATGTATAAAAGTTCTTAAAAATATAATAAATATATAATTGTTATTGTGTGGATCCAAACTAAAATCAGATTCCTTAGACATTGTCAAAATAAAATAAATTGTTGTCATCATAAAAGTATTAGTGTTTCATTGATTGGATACTTCAATACTTAGCATTGGTGATACATTGAAGTATCGGTGAGTGAGAGGACTCAAATAATTTTATAACCATTTTTGTTCCATACATGGGAAACTTTTGTCTAGTTCTTGCTTTACATGCTCATTAGCTTGGTCACATTTTGTTCATAGGCAAAATTGTTTCGACACCCCCAAACAAATCCCTCGGACCTTGGAAGCTTCTCTGAACAGAAAGCCAACTAGTAGTCTGGAAAATTATCATATCCCAAAATGTGCATGTTTAGTTGGTTATAATGCCTAGAACTGCCTTTCAGCCAAATAACTCCACATGGCTGAAGGAATTGCAATCCTGTAAAATGGCGTATTATGTGCCTTGATTTAAGGTTAGAAATTAAGTTTATTCTTTTGAATATGACCAAAGGTAACAAATGAATGTGTGGCATTTTTCATCATAGATGGAGAGGATTCAGTTATCGTCACAAGCCATTGGATTATGTCCAAATTGAACGGAAGCGTCATGACAAGGTATCTAGTTCATTGGATAATGAAGTATACCTGGTTGATATTTCTCATCTGATTCTGAGTATTAAGTTCTGTTTCTTGATGCTGTCATTCCAGGAAAGAACCTTAGAAGAGCACAAAAAATTGGTGGAGAGGATTCTAAAACATGACCAAAAACGACGGAAAAGGATAGAGGCTGCTGGCATTGATTTCGAATGCCCTGAGATCGTGAGACTTTTGCTTTTATCATTCTGTGGTTGTTCGTTTGTTTTCACAAATATAGAATTTTGTGCATCTTGAGATTTGCTCTCATTTTACATATATAATTGCTCGTGCAGATGGGTAACATCCAGCCTGCTCCAAAGAAAATAAAGTTTGATGACTGAGTTGGTAATCCGACTCATCTTCAAAAAATGTTTTTGCTGAATTCCCTGAGAATATAGTGCTGAGCTACCATGGTCACGAGTGTTCACAACTGTAGAGTCTCCTGGTTTAGGATTTGTAGTATTATTATTTTTTGCTGTTTTGGAACTTAACTCTGAAACCTTGTATCCCTCAAATGTTTACTGGAAGCATGGTCCATTTTATATATTCATCAACTTTTAAAGTAGTTGATCACCTTCAAGGCTCATTCCTGTTTTACTTTTTTCACCGGCCTCCTCCAACTCTCCGTGCCTAGCCATTTTCAAATAGCTCACTTTTTTCAAAAGTATTGCCCTTTTTTGGTCTTCAATTGCATTCTTAATTAGAGTTTGCGCACATCTATTGCTTCGTTTCTTAGATTTTGTTAACATTGACAATCTGGCAAAAAAATATTTCATTTAATTTATTGACTTCTCATCGAAGTATTCATGGAAAGGAAAAGTGGTTTTAATCGTGTATCTTGACAATACAGACTTGGAACTGCTTATATTTCCTCTGGTTCTCCGTGTACATGGTCGTGTTAGGCTTCAAATTACCTCAGGTCTTCAAATCCTTTCATATTTTTTGGAGAACTATTTTCTTGAATTTAAATTATGAAGTGACATTAAATATAATTTATTATTTGATACTATATGTTAAAAATACTTATGTTATATATTATCTATATATATATTTGAAAAGGTCGAGAATAATAGTTTGCATTTTTTTTGAACTCCATCTCCATTTCCCTAAAAGAATATTATATATGTATATATATATATATGCCCTCCTGTATCACATTTCAAGAAATTTTATTTCTTTTATTGATTTCTTTTGTATTAATTATATTAATATAATTATAATTCTTTTACTGAAAGTTAATTCAGACATTTTAGAATATGTTGCTTCACATTTGCTACTTGAATCCAACAGTAGTAAAATATTTGAAATACTATAATGTATTTACAAATTAAATAACAAAATAGATAATGAAAAAAAAAGTATAGATAAATGATAAATTTTCATATAGTTATGAATATTATGTATAATAATTTTTCAAAAAAATTGAATTATTATTATACCTTGTAAATTATAATGTTGTGCTTTCCTTGTTTTTCAATCGAGTTTCCTTTCAATACATATTTTACATGAAAATAGGTTATGCGTTATCATATTTTCTGTAAATCCTTTTTAATGATATATGTAATAAAGATCCTCTCCTATGATATGCTACCGCCATTACTTCTAAAACATTATTAATAAAACTTATAAATTAGAACTATTAACATTACTTAAAATATTTTTTAAATAATTAAATTACTCATGATTGACTTGACTGCCTAAAAATGAAAGTTAAAATAAAATTATCAGTTTTCGTATTGAAATGGAAACTAAAAGTACTTCTAAAGATAGTAATGAATAATTTCTAGGGAGATTCTGCCAATTTTTTTTGTTTTGGTTGTTCTGGTTTGCTTTGATTTCATCAGTACCGAAAAACATAATGTTTTCAAACTTAATTAATATTTGATTGAGTATAATAGAAGTTAAGTTTAACCAATTATACATTTGTACAACTCTTTTAAGACAAAAAGGACAAAAAGGACAAAAAGGGAAGCTACATGTGAAATTTCACAATCCTAAGAAACTGTGCTACGCATTTGATATTTAAATACCCAAACTACCCTTTTCTCTTCACTTTCTTCACGCTCTCATTCATGGGTGGTGGAGTAAAGAGTGCGGTGGCCAAGTTCACTGCCACCGGGATCAGAGGCGTCGTACCGCCTATCCAGTCATCTGTTCAGAGTGCTTCTGAAGTGTCACCGGCAGATGGCGGTGAAGACAGTACGGCGAGGGTGGTGTCATCAGGCAGTGTTCCTTGTTTTGATGAAGCCACAACTGAACTAAAACATGTTCTACATAAGTAAGTATACACACTCTCTCTATCTCATTGTTCATTTCCTTTGAGTTGCATTCCATGCTATAATAAATCTATTATTCTTTTATTGGTTATTTAATTATTGATATTATTAAACTCCTATCAAGAAACAAATAAGTAGCTTTTGTGTTCTAACAAATATCTTGTGTTGTGTTATGCTTTATCGTGTACTGATTTCTATGGACCTTTTTTCTCTGCAAACATCATATGAATGTGATCATATTTCAGGAAATACCTATCTTCAAACTCCACCGAATACCAAGGCTGTGCTCTTCCTAATCAAATATCTGTTCTGTCAGCTTCTCATTCTGGTTTGAAGAACAAAGATAGTGTTTTTCAGGCTTTTCAATTGTTTAGTGAAAGTTCAGAAGCTCAGGTAGTGCTTTAATACTGCATAGTTTGAAGAGTCTTTATTAATCTCTAAGCTTCTTTGATGAAATCCAAAATAAAATTTGCCATCCAACAGTTTTTCAAGTTGAGTTACAATAAAAATATATTCTATAAATTAACATAATATAAACAAGTTTATTAATCTAGGGTGCACTGAATTAATACCTGAATGAGCAGAATGTTGTGGCTTCTATTGCCTGTGACCCAAATGTATGGAATGCGATGGTGCAAAATCCTAAACTACAAGATTTCTTCCATGCACAGCAGACAGGTAAAGGGGTCTGTTTTCTTGATTTTGTTTCAGCCATTGCAAAACTCTCTTTCTAATTTTGATGGATGTTAATTAAAGAAATATGTGGTGTAACAGATGGTTTTGAATTAGAGAGAAGTTTTGATGAAAAAGTTGAAGACTTACCTTATTCTTATTCTGTGTATTCTCTTGTCAATTTGCTAAATATTCTCCGCAATGTAAAGTTTACCGTAGTTGAAATGATTGCAGCGTGTCAATTCACTTTCAGAATAAGTTTGGGTTCTTAATTGCTGGTTATTGATTGGAGAGGAAATGCAAAAGCAAACTTCATCGATAATACATCATTGTGAAGGAACTTTTATGTATGTTGAAACTTGCTTTAAGTTGTAAGCAAAAATGAGTTAAAACACACTTTGTTGAGCTCTAATTTACTTTATGATTTTGATGGCTGGGAATTTTCACAACTCTATTATTCTTGAAAGTTATTTATAAGATATTAATGTATGCTATTTCGTTTGGTTTCTCCACCATTATCGTGGATCTCTATAACTGTTTTTTTCAGTGGAATTTAGTGATATCTTCGGAAAATATTGAATTGTTTAAATCCGCCACGTGTTTATGATTTAGGTATTTTATGTTATTTATTATTATTTTTAATTTATAAGAATAAATACATTAAATTAGATATTAGGTTAGTTACAAGTTTATTTGACTAACTTTTTGCTTAATCTTTTAATGGTCATGGATGACACGAAGAGGGAATATGTTAAATTTTGTTTTCAATTGTTTTTTACAATTTTTTTTCAAAATATCTCATTTTGGTTACGAGGAAGTTACATGTTCTCTAAGTTCCGTGTGTCCTAAAGCTCGGTTTTTTTGTCTGCGTTTTCTAAACTGTTCAGTCAAATTGAGAGATTACTTGCATAAAGTAATTTGATGCTAAAGTTAGTAAATATTCAATTAGTTGAGTAGTTAATGCCTAATGAATAGAATCACTTACCTCTTTACCTCAAACTTGTATTTATAGATTTCAGGGTGAGTTTTGGATTAAAAAGGGCCTAATTGATATTAATCATGTTTTGCCGTAAATTAATCTCCATCAAGCATAATCGATGTTTAAGGGTAATCGTTTAGTTTGTATGACACAATCGTTTGATCTCTTGAATAGTCGTCTTAATGTTTGGAACTGTGTCTACCGTTCAATCCTAGGTTAATCGGATGACCATATACAACACTCAAAGAAAATTGGAAGATAATTTTTTGTATTAAGTAATTAGTTGATAATAGGTACATTCGATGAAATGTATCATATGAAACTTGTCAATACTTAAATGACTTTCTTGTTTAAAATTTGTTTTAATTGTGTGTTATTTAGAAAACTCTTCTTCTTAGCTAGTATGTTTAAAAATAACATACAATGTAAAGAAATAAAGATGGAAATAATACACATATTTTTATATTGGTTCATCTAACCACAAATAATACATCTAGTTGTCAATCAATTGATTGAGTTCTGTTAAATAAAGTAATGTTATAAAGTATAATGTGAGTAGTTTTTGGACTTAGTGGATACTTCTAACTAACCCAACCCTTTGAGTATTGTTTGGGATCATAGGTACTCTTGCTCCACCACTTGACTACTCTATTAAACAAGTCACTTATAGCTCAATCAAGTATATTATTTCACAAGTCACTTCTAATTCAATCAAGTATTCTTTCACAAGTCACTTATGGTTTAAACTAAATATTCTTTTGGTTTGCAAATACTCTTAATTCACCTTGTTTAAGTATTCTTTTTATAAGTTATTTCCACCTAACTTATATTACTTCACTAGCCACTTCTAGTTCAAGTATTTACTCTTTGAACATAAGCTACTATTGACTAATAATAAAGTATTCTTTGATATATAATTGGTATAATTGGTGAACATATATCACACTTTAGCTCACTAGAGAGGTTGATCATTTGTTGATGTATGTAAAATTGATATTCTCCTCTAGCTTTTTAATTGAACACACAATGTTCTTTTTTGAAGCTCATAAATTTTAGCAACATTTTGACACTATAATATGGTCTCTAACATTTTTCTTTTACTGAATAGTTTTATAGACTTTGAAGAAAGTAGGTGTTGTGAAATCCTTGATCGCCACTGAACAACTTTAGCTAATTTTGAATTTTTGTTTGAAGAGTTTGGTATTGATGGATGCATATGCACTCCATGCAATAATAAATGTTCTTTCTTCATTGAATTGATGTACTTATCTTTTTCTTTGACAATGTGCATTTTTTCTTGATTTGTCTTAAACGGTAATGTTGTATGAAGTGGGCAATTCTCCCATAATGTTTAGTTCAAGAATTTGGTGAAGAAAAAAAAAATACCTTTTCTCTTTATTCAATAAATCTAAGTGATTTGTCCCTTTTCTAACAAATCTCTTTTGTTATAAGAAAGTGGTAAACTTTTTTACAATATAAAGTAAGCTTTATGTGCTTTCATATGATATGAGGTTAACTTATTTCGAATGATTTATCCTCTGAAAATTTCTATTTTATGTTATGTTAAGTCAAACATAAAATAAATATTATATAATTTCTTAAACGAAAACTTGTATCTTATAGAATATGTTGACACAAATTATTATCTTTGTTGGGGTTATTGAAGAGGAGGTTTCTTGTGGGTTATACAAACACCAATAACATTCGAGTCAATTATATAATGGATCGACATCACTCTTTACCCAAAATCTTAAGGAAAAAGATTAATGGATTTTTCATCTTTATATACTGCTCTACTTTCTTATTTCTATCCAATATGATACTTGGACTCACACTTGTATACCCAACAATCTTTCAGATAAAAACACAACCATATTTTCATACTTAATTATTTTTAACACCTAATAAAAATGATAGAGTATCGGACTTTTTCACTAACACATTAAGTTAATATAGAAGTTTCTAACTCAAGCTTATAACTTTTAACTTATTTAATTCCTTTTTATTCTTGTATATTTTATTATACGTTTTATTATTTATTTTCCTTTTACCTATAGTTATTTATTTTTATTTTGTACATATATTATTAATATTATTACACTTTTTTTATTTGTTGGATTCTTTTCAAATTTTTATGTAGCTCAAATAAAAAGGAAATTTACATTATCATTGAAGTAATTAATGTTTCATCACATCATACTATATGAAAATTGTAAAAATAAATTTAATGTATCACTAGTTTAAATTGAGAAATAAATAAAAATTAAAAATAAAGAAAAACTAAATTACATGTCCAAATAAAGAAAAAAGTCTATACAACTTTTGAAAATATAAGTACGAAAAAGTTTAATTATTTAAAAAATCTAAAATTATAATTGAATAATATTCTTTTTTTGAGTAAAAGCATAAAGTTTATTTATATAATGAAACTTATGTATGAACTAAAAACTAACTTATAAGCTACCAACTGGCATATCATAGTTTATCAGTTACTTTGTTAGCTTATCAACTAGTTTTTGTCAAAAATACCCAAATAAATTTAACTTCCAAATTAGCTATAGTTGGTTAATGGAATTTAATTATCATGTTCTAGAACATACTAGAAACTTCTAGAATGAATATTTCTTTTAGACTAAAGTTTTAGACTATCTGATAAAGGCCTAAAGTGTTAGATTAAAAGTGATTTATATTTGTAAGTTTTTCTCTCTTACAAGTTTATCTCACAAAAAGGAATTTAGATTTTATATTCTCTTGTAAAGAATTATACTTTGTATTTCAAATTATATTTGTTTAAGTTATATATGAAAGTGGTAAATGAAAAAAAAACTTGTGAAATCTAAAAGCCACTAATGTTAGCTTTCATTGAGGCTTTTGCATTTGGGAATGCAAGATAGCTTTCACGAGAGTGGGAAGAGTTGAGAATTTTGCGAACGAATGTGTTAGAAATTTGGGAACAAAAAACTGGGGTTGGGATTTGGATCATGTAATGCTTTTTTAATTATTTTAATTTTACCCATAGATTAATTAATATTACCTATGCTTTTTATTTTTCCACCATCCGTAGGTGATAGTTAATTGTTAACACTTCTCTTGGACATTCTCTTTCTTGTGTGTCAATAATATTACATACGAAAATATAAGTGGGTACAATAAATTCATATACAAACCTTATTTATGGGTATTTATCAATGAAAAATTGAGTTTTCTTGTAGTGATGTTTTAGATGTTTCTAGTTCAACCTCATGAAAAGTTCTTTATTGACAACCAATTTGTAAAAATAGAAAAAGTATAAGCATTGAACTTCATTAAAGATTATTGTAAACATCACATCGTAGCATATAAATTTAAAAGGAAAATTATATTTTACCGAGTGTAAGAATCATGTTTCACTGTAATAAAAATATTCAACAATAATATTGAGTTATGCTTAGTGAAAGCATCATGCTATACTATATAAGTCCAGAAGGTAAATGCCACATTTTATAGCAAGTGTGAACATCAAGCATTATAAAGGTATTGTGTCATAACATTGAATTGTATATAGCATAAGCATTACGACAACCAACTTGAGTGAGACTATTAAGATAAATAAAATATTGTGCTTCATTTAATTACGCAGTTAAATATTACGATTGCTAAAAATAAGAGATTTATAGAACTATAATTATGTTAAGAGAATAGAAATTGGACATACCTAATCCAACAAATATGCTAAGTGATGGCCTAACAAGACCCATTCAACTTTATTCTTAAAGTGGATGAAAGATATTCTGAGATATATTTGTTGATACAAATATTCATATATTAGCAACATATGTGACCAAATTTGATAGTTTGATTACGCCATCATATCCCCTAATATCATATATTTACAAAATATATGGTATAATAGGTAATATGTCACATTATCATTGTCATTTTGCTAATTATTGTATATACGGTAAACTATTATATTTGTTATATTATTTGATATTTTCTTATATTTATAGTAAGTTATTGGGCCTAAAAACCTTATAAATACAGATGGTATTTCATACAACATACACATATAGGACTGGGCATACTTCACTTAAAAACTCTAAACTATAGTTTATCTATACTGTTTTGTACATAAAAAACTTAAAAAGTATTTTTACTAAAAACCAATTATACTGTTTAATAGTTCAGTTTAAAAACCAATTACTAAAAACCAATTATACTGTTTAATAGTAGAGTTAACTGTGAACTGTGGTTTAGGTTATTCTCAGTCACAATTTTCTTCTCGCCTCTTCCATCCTACATTGCTTTCTCAACTCTCGCCCTGTTGAAGGTTCGTCGCCATCGAAGGCTCGCCGCCGTTGAAGGCTCATCACCGTCGAAGTCTCATTGCCGTCGAAGGCTCGTCGTCTTTGAAGACTAACCGAAGGCTTTTCTGCATTCTGCCGTGCCGAACTATCGGCTCTACCACTATCGTCGAAGGAAATACAAGATATACATTTTTTTTCAGATTGCAATTTTTTAAAGAGATATATGGAATTCTTTGGGTATTTGTGCCTATTTTTATTTTGATATTAGNTTATTACACTTTTTTTATTTGTTGGATTCTTTTCAAATTTTTATGTAGCTCAAAT